AACAACACAATAACATATGATCTGTGAACACAGATTTATATGAAGTGTAGTGAAATAAATTATCAGTTTCATATTAACATAATAATATTAATTTGTTGTTTATTTTAGGAACAGTTTTCTTAGGATCCATTCTCAGAGGTATGGCATTTCTCTATTAACAAGACCATGATATTAACAAACTGTGAATATATCATAATGCTATACAGGTCCCTGCTTTATTAGGACATCAAATTGTAGTGAACCTGACAGTTTGTACCAGTACCAAGTTTGTTTAAAGGACTGTATAACTCTTTTGGAGAGACTCTACAACTTGTTTGTCTCCATGGAGATGTGGAAAATGCTTTGGTTTAAATTGTCCACAGTCTCTACAGGTGTTATTTATTGCTAAAAAATAAACATCCATTCTAACTGTGAGTGGGGTCACCTCTCCACAAATCTAACTTATAATTTGGGTTGCAAGTCTTCATGGAGATTCTTATGTTTCTGGCCATACTGTGGAACATTCTAGGCACATCTCCATGATGACAATCCTCCACTGAACAAGTAAGACAATGCACTTTTAAACACACAATCAAAATGGACCACATGAATTTACCCTGTGTAGACAGAAGCAGTGGTTGTCCTAAAAGAGAAAAGCCCAATTGAAAGAAGCACAAAACAAGTTTTTGTAGAATAAATTGTAGTAGCTCGAGAGTTGAAGAGAAAAGGCGCAGCACTGGAGTTCTAACTCAGAAGTCTATTTACTATCAGTACAGGACCCGGCATCCAGAGATATAAACCCTCATGACACTGTGATAGTGCTGTCCATTCCATTCTAGTGCAGTCCAGCTTCTCTATGCTTTTGCTGTACGGAGTATTATACATCTGATGACGTAGGCCAAGATAACAAGGACTGAGCTGGCAGTGAGAGCACTAGATACAGCACAGAAATTAAACTTCTCTAACACAAGTGTACTATGAGTTACTGCTGATGGAATAAGTACGGCTTCAAACTGAATGACTGTTCAAGGCACTCTGAGTCATTTTTATAGGAGAGAATAATAGGTTGACCCGGAGATTCTCATCATATTGTGTTAATTTGGGGAGTGGTTGTGACTAACACTTTGTTGTGAATGCCCATGCAAAACACCAGCTTGAGTCCCCTCTTAGGACGCCTATGGAGCCATTAAACATGTAATCCTGTAGAGAGTGTAGTGTATGTGTAGTAGCCACTTACCTCAGCCACTGTCACTAATGTATGTAATTATAGCAGCAGTCAGGCACGATTAGCACTCACTCTGCTGCATAATGATAAGGCCTATAGGTGTGTATACACAGTGTGAAACAATACTCCTTATTTATATATTTTATTCTTTTATCGAGTTTATACAAAGCCTTTCAAGATACTCAAAATGCATAATATTTCATTATTCATTCACTCCCCCGCACTCACCATTCATGTGTAAAACTGCTCACTGATACTTTGCAGATGATATCATTAACATTCCTTGGGGGTGTGATGCTAACTGGAGGCTCTTCTCTGTCTGAAGCTCTGTTACTCAAATTAGACTTCAATCTGAGTTTTGTTTTAACACAGTCCAACCAGAAAGAACTGATAGAAACTGGCGGAGTTACAGGTCAGATCTGCAGATACTTTCCAGCAAAGCAATAACATGGTTGCTTACACCCTTTAAATGTTGTACAATGTTTCGTTAGTTGGCAGTGGCACCTTTAATTACTGTTTGTTTTATTGTAATTGTGTAAATAAAAGACAATTTTACATTCAGTCTATTAAATTGTACTAATAAAGGTAGAACAATTTGAGCTGTAGCTACTGTCAACAAAGCCCAATATTATATGACCCTGGCTACACATTTGACACAACCCCCACGCAAAGGCGTAATTTGTATGTGCTACAAAAATGCAGTATAATTAGGTGAAAAGGGAAATTAAAAGAGCACCTTGGTTAAGTTCACTTTGGGTGTAGGCATTCAAAGTGAAAAAGGTCTCAGGCATCCTCAGTATTTTCTGCAGAGGTGTTAAATTATAATGTGCGGCCTTCTTCACGATTCTTTTTTTGTGTTGGACAGCACAAAATGTACCAAACAAACCAATACCTTTGTCAGTACTACCTGCAGATTTCTTGTTGTGGTGTGAAGACTCTACTGTACAGAATGCAGAAGGAGGCGTTCTATCCGTTTATGCATTGATTTACAGGGGGTCCTAAAGGGGAGTGGGCACGTCCGCTTTCTGTAAAATGGGATGTGTGAAGTACAAAGCTCACACAGATAAAAGTATCATTTAGAACACGGGTTTTAAAGATGCATTTGAGGTAGACGGCATTTTCACCAGGGACCAAATCTTGTGTTCGTCACAGCGATCGTCCTGGGAACAGTAAACACCTTATTGAATAGTGATTTAGACTTATGATGCATGAGCAGTTAAGCCTTAGGACACAGTGTACAACAAAATATTCTCACACATTTACAACAGGAAAATGTCATTTTCAAGGTACACAGTTTACTGATTTTACTGCATAGACCAGTCTTTGCTCCTATATGTGTGAGTTACATGTTTACTGGTTTAGCAATAGTTTATTTGGTAGATCATTTTTGGAAGTCACTGACCACTACAGCAAGGGAACAATCAGTTATAGGTTAGCCATTGCCTTTCTTCTTTTTCTTCTTCTTCAGTCAAAATCCTTGTAATCCAAAATCTGCTTGTTTCTGGGGAGATGATATTAGTTAGTCTGGAATGTTTTGCAAAATTCATTTATTTATTTATTTTCATTTATTTCAGATAGCATCAAACTTATCTCTCTCCTTGGAGCATAAGCAATTGAGATTGAAGACAAACAAGGGGCGTACACTCCCCCAGAAAAGTTACTTGGAACATCTTTTCAAATATTTTTCAAGCCTATCATATACTCCAGCTTCAGACATCAGAAATGAGTAGTTGTCTTCTGCATCTCAATGTGGTTTCTGATCAGTGTATATAAGCACATAAGTTATATAAAACACTCTAAAGATGTTAAAGTGTTCTAATGCCTTTCAAATTATTCATAGACACTATCTCCAGCTCTACGAGAGCTTTATTTTAAGTCCTATTTATGTCACTCTGGTGAACACTTGAAGCAACAGGGATTGAAATTGTCTTGACTTTGCACTGACACTGCCACCAGCTGCCAGTCAAACACAGAAATGGGGTATCAGCACAAAGCCTGTCGACATCAGGTATGAAACAGTCAGGCACATTTGAATTTAAATAAGTCTTTTGCCTCCGCCCACTGGGGACTTGGGCTGTTCTTCCTGTCACCTCACTCCCTGTACACTAGTCATCATTATAACGATAATTGGACAGAGTAACACGGCTGTGAGAACCTTATCTCTTAATCACATACAACACACGAACACTGGTTTAAACGAATCATATGACAAAGTGAGAATTACATCTAATGACATTGTCTACGTACAAATGAAAAGCTGCTCCCACAAGACAAGAGCACATCCAAAGCAGTTCCAACAATCAAAAACTTGCAGTAGACCAAGCCCAAGTGCACATGCCGATAGTTTTCATTATTACATTCAATTTTGACTAAACGTTTGGATAAATCATTAAAGGTACACCTTGTACCTTGTGGAGTGTGTCTGCCACTTGCTTATCTTTGTTATTGCTTTAACTTTTCCACAGTATGGCATTAAACACTGAAATACCTTAAAAATACCTAAGTGGCCTGGCTTTCCACACACAACATCACATGCTTGTCTCTTCGGAGACTGACAAGTTAAATGCCATATTGTGGAAAATTCTTGGCAACATGGAGATGGTCAAATGGGGAACAGTCCCTCAGAAAAGTCACAGAATTCCTTTGAAGCACATGAGTCAATATTATATTTGATTAAATCTGTAGCCTACAGCAAGCCACTGTCCATGGTTTTCAAAGTGATTTATTTTTTTTTATTAACAATTTAAAACAAAATATTATATCTTTTGAATGGGAAGAATGTTGCAAATAACAGAAAGCCAAAACCCATGAATACACTCCAAGTTTGATGTAGAGATGACGCTCTAAAATAGTAATAACGTCTCAAGGAGGATAACAAGTAATCTCTTTGCTCAGAAGAAATGTTAACCACTCTGCTACCATAAAATAGTATAGTAATGTCATGTGTGTTCTAAAGGCCACCTTTACATCTGCCCTTTATACTATAAACCGACAGTCATGACGCTAAAGATTTGCCATTTAGAAATAATTGAAGGCCATAAATCAAAGCATGTGTCAGTGAAAACAGCAGTCATAGCTCCATCTGCTGGAAAAATCAAATAATGCAACACTCTCAGAGCACTGAACAGTTCATCTCTCATTTAAGGTTCAACACCTAACCAACAATAAATTCTGTATTAGGCAAAATTAAGTGAGCTTTTAGTCATGTTGGACTCTTTGTACTTCCTGAAAAACATATCTGGGGTTGTGTTTTGTTTCATTCACACATGTTTGTTTTTGTTATCGGTCTATCTACATCTATAAAGCTCAAAATGCTCTGCGCCACCTTGTGATGTCATGAAATGATAAATTAACAGATAGGGCTACCTTGTAACTTTTGTTAAACAGAGATTGGCAATTCCAGGGCTGAAATGAACAAAATTATTCTAGTGAATGTGCATGGAGTTTAAAAACACATTTGAGTACTTCCGGTGTCACCACATGTCATCACAAGACACAAGAGTGTTTTCCATTTGAGAGAAGAAATTAGACCAGATATGCAGGCTTTGTGTGTTAAACATGTGTGAATAAAACAAAACACAACTCCAGGTAAGTTTTGGAAGAGGAAACAACATAGATCAGAATATAGTGTGATATGGGGCCCTTAATATCCTTGACCAATGATCATCAGGTAACAGCATTACATGCATTTGAAACAGTATTTGCTTGTAAATAAATCTTGTTTTTACAATCATGTCCAGACCAAGTCAAACTACTTTCACAATAGTTAAATGACCACAAGGCATTACCAAAACCACAGCATTTACGTCATTTTATTTTAGTATAACACCGTCACTTGTTAATAATCCTGGCTGGACTCCTCATCTTTGACTTTCTTAGCAAAATCTTTCAAAATTGTGAAGAAGTTGCTTGGCACCTCTGTCTCATCTGCTTTGAGTTTGTTACAGATAAATGGAGGGATGTACTCCATGGGGTCAGTGTTGCCAATCACCCAGTTGAAAGTGCTGAAAAATAGGCAAAGAAATTAATCTGTAGTAGGTTTTATGGAAAATATGTTCAGGAAAATATAGTACCCTTTGAGTAAATTAAAGTAAATTAAACTTAAAGGTCCTATGTTAAACAAAATTGACTCTTGTGAGCTTTAAGCCATGTTATAATGTTGTTACCTCATCAAAAACATAACCGGACTTGTATTTTGTTTCATTTACACATGTTTTAGTAACCCTTTATTTTTAGTCAGTCTACATTTCCAAATCCCAAAATACTCAGTTAAGTGCCACTTTTAACCTTTAGTTCAATAGAGGTTGGCAGTTTCAGGGCTGAAAAATCCAAATGATGCTAGTGAAGGTGTATGGAGTTTAAAAAGACAATGGAGCACTTCCTGTATTACCACATGATATCACAAGGTAGAACTGTGCTTTTTGTTTGAGAGAAGAACTCTCTTTTTGTGTGAATTAAACAAAATACAGCTCCATGTATTTTTGGAATGAAGAAACAACATTATAACATAGATCAGAAAATAGTGTAATATGAACCCTTTAAATAATCTTTTATTTTTTGTTTTTGTACATTGTATTTATTGCATTATTACATTATCACTTGCTGTACTTCCTGCCCCACTGGGTCTGTTTAGATTACCTGAGGACGTCAAATCCTGATTTAGGGCTGTGGGTCATGTAGGTAAGAGGAATGCAACCAACTTCAGTGAAAACTGCTGAGTAAGTGACTAAAACACACAACACATGATCTCAGACATTAGTTATAAAGATTATGAAAGGTGCACTTGTAATTTCTCATTAGAGAAGTCTTGTAGTGCTCCTTTAAAAAGACTATATATTGATACTTTGCAGCTGATGTCTTCAACATTGCCGAGGGGTGTGATGCTAGCTGTAGGTTGTGCTGTGTTGGGGCATTGTTAGACTTTAATCTTAGCTCTATTTTAACACAATCTGATTATAAAGAACTGATTTATTTGGAACTACAACAGATAATTTGTGCTGTTAAACAAGTCCAGCATTAGCCAACAGTTTCAGTTTTCAGTTAGTCATTCTGAGTTTTTAGTTAAAACTAAAACACCTAAACCGGGACATGAACGCAAATCCATCCATTAAATCAATTTAGTAATTTTTTTCTTGATTTTTCAAACAATCTTAAAACTTTTTGGCTGTATTTGCTAATGTGTGCATTGTATCATGGTGGTAACTGCTACAGAGATACATGTATAACAATGTATAACACCTCCAGCTCAATGTCACTGCAATGTTTCAATACATATTAGGAAAACAATTGCATTTGCTGTTGTTATGAAATGTAGTGGTTGCAGCAGTGTTAATTTATTTGAACATTGGATGTGTTGGCCTCTCACCGTTTTCAGGCAGAGATCCGTACCACGTGTTGGTCAGCACACCCATGCCCCAGGACGAGGAAGAGCCCAGAATGGCCTGTCCCATCAGTTTGGCGTCAGAGGGCACTTGCATGGGAACAAAGGCATCATCCAGAAGTCTCTTTTTGCAGGAGAATTTGCTCCAGTTGATTTCATAGTACACTTTCTGTAAAAAGACATATCACTGCACATGCGGTTCTGGTTCATAAGGACCTATTTTACATGATATCAACTTTCTATCTTTTCTCGCCAAAAAGATTTTTATTATATTAACAATTTTGAGTAATCATAGATAAAAAGCTCCATTTTGTTGCTTTTGTGGCTACCTGGCTCACACACTGAGCAGTTTTTGAAATTTTAGCTCAGTTTTGAACATCATCTGCAGCAGGTGCAGTTCAAAGGACACAAGTAAGGGACTTCTGGATTTTGTGAAATTTCAATGAATGTGAAATGTTTGTTTTTCCTGTATCCATCACTGACTAACAACATCAGAGTAAGAGTGAGGCCTTTCCTGTTGTGTTTCCCCTGGAGGCTGCTGTGATGCTGCAGAACACAGAGTAGGAACACTTTTGTCCTGAGAGCTCCTCAAACTGTCCTGACTCAGATCTGCTGACCCTGCCTAACCACTCCTCTTGTTAAACTCCACTGGGACTTTTGACTGAGACACAAAGGCCACTAAGAAGTGCAGTGTAAATGTTGCTGCAGCAAAAATTACATTTCCCTTGCGATCAATAAATTATTTCTCTCTATGTCCATTTATTATTTAGTTTATTATCATTTGTCTTCATCGAGATGCATCATACCTTCACAACTAACAGCTATGTTTTTTGCCTCATTTACCCTGTCAACAAGTGTTTTGTGCGGTGAATGGCTTGTACTTGGTTTTCATAAATATTCCTTTATGTTGTTACTTCTAAGTACTCACAATGTTAAGCCTTACTAGGGAGTTAAGAAAGGAAGTTTTACCTCTCTGAAAAGCATAAGCACCTCCATATTAAAATTAGTGCCATTAGTGGAACCAGCATGTTTAATACGAGCCTTTTGCCCAAAGTTATCATAAGAGATCTTCCCATATGAGTCCATTATTTTCCATCTGCAAAAAGAGGCAGGAGATTTATGTGGGATTTGTTAAACGGATACGGTAAAAATGTAGGTCAGAAACACGCACCACACTAAAAGAACCCGACATCATTGGTGGTGATACTGTGAAAAAAAGATTAGACTGAATTATGTACAGTTAGGTCCGAAATAAGACAAAATAAAACAATTAAGTCAGTAGTGATCAGAGTACTTGCAAAATCACCACAATCAAGATAAATGCTAACATAATTTACAAAAAACTATCACTGTGAATATGACAATTTTGTCTAAAAATTGAAATTAGACTCAGATTTTTGGTAATTGACTGTAACACGTTGTCATGGTAACACAGACCACTCACCACAGTGTTTGGGTGCCTGAGCCTGGGCAGAGGAGAGCAGCAGCAGGGCACAGAGGTAGGGCAGCACACACAGCGTGGCCATGATGAACCAGAAATGAGCTCCAGTTTAGACACACAGTACAGTTATATACCCTCTGTAGAACATGTGAACTGACACACAGACTTTCAAGGACTTTCCTTTACAAAACTGATAAGACTGGGACATATGTTTTCTGTCACAAAGATAAACTCAAATACCTGTACTAGAAGTGGAGATGTTGTAAATAAAAATAAATATTGTACAAACTGTATTGGTCAGCACATTTTATTTTATTGTATTATAAATGTGTCAATCAGTCACAAAAATACTGTAGGCCAGAGATCATATTTGGACGAAAATCTTCCCAATGCCAAAAGTGCTTGTGAAATAAAAAATTTAATTTTTGTTTGAGTTCCTCAAACAGCTCCCATCTGTTCCTATAAGAATTCATGCTATGTGGTAAATGTTCATGAAGAGATGATTTTTAGAACAAACATTTAAAACTTTAAGTTTGGCTCAAGGTTCGAACAATGGAGAGTCCACACATGTTTAAAAAGAATACAAATATAGATATTTATTTAAAAACAAGGTGCAACTAAAGTTGTGGCCGCACAGTGGAGAGGAGAGAAGAGAGTGAGCAGTCTCCAGCAGCCAGCTTTAAAATTTGGTGGGCCACGCCCACAATCAGGTGCAGCTCGTTGGGTTGGCCATCCCACTCTCTGGAATCTGGAAAGGAGGGGAAGAGAGCCAGCAGCAGCACAAACCCAACCACAAAGTACTGAACTAACCTGGGGGTATTTTTAAGTTACTACTTGTAGGTTTATTGGATTTTTTTTGTAGTAGTACTAGTAAATGGCAGATGTGAAACCTGTTCCCCCCTGCCCCATACTCTCACCTGGCCTTTGTTCAGACCTGTGTCCTCCAGTGGTCAGGCTAAAGAGGGCACACTATTAAACACTTGTCATGTAGACAGCATCTAGCGGTGCTATGTGAGAATACAACCGGGCCAATCGAAAGGTAGGTTTTAGTAAGTTTCAGAAATGCATTGTAAATTCAATGATGTGTCATGTGCTCATTAGTCAAAACATAACAGATTAGCCCACAGCAAACTCTTAAATATATTAAATGTTGATGAGAAAAAATTTAAAGGAATTTTACTTGTGTAACCGAGAAATGGGCAGAACTGTTGAAATCCATTGCTGATGTTCTCGTACTTATTGTGGGACTGGGACCAATAAAAGTTATTATCTTGTTGTGTATGTTTATGTTAGAATATACGTACATTACAGATCAAATATACTGTGTAGAGCAGAACGTGACACAGTTTCATAGAGTCGCATGTTATAATTGTACGTGCAAAAACAGACCACAGCTGCTCCATTCTCAGCAGGGACCACTCAGTACAAGTTTATCAAGTGTTCAAGCAATTTGTTGAAGATTAAGACACTAGTAAAAAGAAGGCCCTCAGACATAACAAGATTTTGCAGTTTTGTTAAACATTTATTTTCAATTATGCATTTCCAATAATCTCTATTTAAAAATCTTTATTTCTCTTGTCACCCTCAAACAGATGGCCAAAAGGAATATGTCCAACATTTCAGTGCAAAACAGCTAAAGCCAAAGTTAATCAAAAGAATACCCTAAAACAAACTTAAAAGCCAGGAGTTGTATAAATAATATTAAAAAGCATATCTGGCAATTGTCCACAAGGTCATTGGATCCCATTCCCTCGATATTCAGTAAAGCATCCACTCAGTCATGTGGGAATACATGTTCTATTATACTGTAAATTCAATGACAGATTACTCAGAGTTTCTGCACAATTCAAGACTGAAAATCAACAGTAATAACAATGGTTCCTATATACACATATTTAAAATTATTTTACACATTTTGTAATGAGCTTTCTGCCAATCTTCAGACTGAGAACAGAAAACCTGAGTATCTCATGTTGTAATGAAACACATTTTGAAAAGGCATCGTCTTAATGTGGCATTAATTAAAACAACAAAAACAAAAAATAGCACCCAGTCGTTAATCAATCAGTCACACAGCAGCAAGTTCTTTTGTGCGTTAAATAAAATAAGTTAAAAACAAAATAATTTATGGTCCTTCATTGTTAACCTAACTCTGCATTTCCCTTATGTAAGACAAAGCTCTCACCGGTAAAGTAGGTCCAGTCGCATTAACTCGTATTTCACAGCAGTAATGATGATACATTAGATCTACAGACAGTGTGAATGCAGTGCATTGTGGCAGTCAAACACAGACCATGCAGCCTTCAATCCAGTTCTCACCACAGATAGTTTGCTGTGTTAAGTCATTTTAGGTGTTTTTACAAGAACACAGATGAGTTTTTCCTCATCCAGACAGTAGGGGGCACAATTCTCTGTATTTGGTCCCAAAACTGGGTAAATAAAAGAGGACTGCATTAGAAGGCTCACCTGATGTTAAACCAAGTTATATTTCACTGAGAGGCAGATGATTGGCTGTACGAAGAGTGAAAGAGACTGTCCTCCGCTTTACTAGAAATGCAGTTATTTCAGAAGGCCTCGCCACTTTTCTCCTCTCCATCAGCAGTCTGAAACCTCCGACAGGTTGGAGTCACTGGCGAGTTTACGGCGTTGACGGACAGATTTCTCTTCATCCTAAAGAGCAGAAGAAGAATGTCAACAGTAGATTCAAGGTAACACTCTAATGCCTGTCTCTATAATTACTATATTGACTTATCGTTCAATATATGAAAGCTGAACAAATATATTATTGTGCTCAGTGTTTATCGTGGGTGTATAATTTCTCTGCCAGAGCTGTCTGCGATTTTTGCCATTTGTATGTAAGAAAAGTAAGATTTGAGCTGTAGAGGGTAAAATAATGAATTCTAAGGCTAATTATTGGTTAATAACTACTGTTCATTTGTTACAACTCAGGCCTTTTGAGTGATACTGTCTATTTAAAAACTGGTATACTGGGATTATACTGCTTTACTGTTATTATGTCTGTGGCATTAAGTAGTTTCAATATTATCGTTTATCACAATATTTCTCTGTAGCAATATATTGTGGTTAAAATTTTGTTATAGTTACAGGCCTGAGATGTGTATGTGCTTTACTGGGGTGCTTCTAAGCAGCACTTGTAAACAGTTTTTAATAATCCTCATAATATAAAATCCTTGCCCTTGGACCTTTGGTTTGGTACTTTATTTAATTATCACGTTTATGATTCATGAAGTAGATTCTGAAAAGACAGAAGTAAAGAAATAAAAAAGCAAGATTAATCTTTAATTAAATAATGTGACATGACCTTGTGCAATGTATTCATCAGACAAACTTAAAATTGTTTTATTTCTTGAAATGTTTAATATTTAACAATAAATTAGTCATTAGTGGATCCAAGTAATTAGCAAGATCTGAGATTTAGTTTCATTCATCACTTTCATCGCATCTCATACAGAGCCAAAACAACCTCATTAAACTTTGATAAAACATTGGCACTTAAATTAAAGAGGGAATATTAAACTAAGAAGATTTATTTTTTTACTTTCTACCATGTTATAACTTTGTTCCCTCATCAAAAATATGCGTGAAGTGGTGTGGATATTTGAGTAATCTTGCAATCTCTCCTGGGCCCTATTCAAACCCTCCTTACGTTTAGTTAGAAGATTCTGTCCAATTCTCAGCCCTCAGGTCTTGACAAACCTGATGTAATGTGCAGTAGTTTCATTAGCAGGATGATAGTGACTCAATGTGGGGAGTAAAGTGAGGGGGGCGAAATTATAAAGCATGTCAATACATAGTTTTTGGATGGTGATCTAAATATATTATGTGTTAGCAGTTAATATCAAATAGAAGTAAAATACCCCTCTTTAAGAAGGTATAAGCTTTTGATAAGAATCCAATAATGTATGAGATGATAATTTACATAGCAACAGTGACAATATTAGGCTATACAACCTTGTTGGTTTTATATGCTCTTCAAAAATGTAAAAAAAAAAAAACCCAAAAAAATTATTCATTTATTTATTTTAATTACCGTTTGAAAGACACCATTTGGACCCCAGTCTCCAGGTGAGTGGTCATCTGTTTCTTCCTCCTCCCCCTCCTCCTCTCTCACGGTGTCCATCCCGTCCTCCTCGTATTCCGTCAGACAGTCCGACTCCTCTGCTGAATACAAAGAATTATGGGAGATATTAGTGAAAGGGAGGGATATTTATCATCCACAGACTTGTTAGTGCATAGTGGCCATTAAACATCCCAGGACATCTGCTCCAGTGTGCAAGTGTCTGAACCAGGGCATAGCATGTAGGAAGATTTATAACTGTAGAAGATAAGGCTGCTACTAACGATTATTTTATTAGTCGACAGGTCAGTGATTATTACCAAGGAGATGTTTTTATACGGCCCATATAATGCTACTTTCTGATCCATGTTATAATGCACTGCACATGTAAACTGTGTTCTACTCTCAAATGGAAAACACTCTGCTCCACCTTGAAATGTCATGTCTTAATTCAAGAAGAACCCCACTGCGTTCGTAAACTCCATACACTTTCACTAGAATCATTTGGAGGATTTCAATCCTGGAATAAGAAGTAAAAGGTAGCTGTTATCTTGAAAACTACTGCTTCATGACATCACAAGTTGAAACAGAGCATTTAGAGCTTTGCAGAGTGAGTACTAGAGTTACGGTACTCAAACATGTGTGAATGAAACAAAACACAACTCTAAGTATGTTTTTGATGAGGTAGCGTCATTTTAACATGGCTCACAAAAGTCAATTCTAGATAATATAAGACCTTTAACTATAAAATTCAACCAACTTAATCTTAATCTATGTTGATCTATTGAGTATGCTTGTAGATTGTTCAAATTAAAATGGCTACATCTTTACTCTAATTTCAGTAGTTAATCAGTCACGATTAGTCCAAATAATTGCTTCAGGCAGCCCTTTTAAAATAGCAATGTGACTTCAAATACAGGTGTAAAAATATGCAAAATACTACTTGTTTGTAAATGAAATTTAAAATCCTTGAAAATAAATGTGAATAAATTTAGATAGAGATACTATAATTTTTCTTTTTTCCTTATTTCCATATTATATTTTACCTTCTGCAGCCACAAAGGTCTGAACTGGGTCGATTCTGGACACGATTTCTGCCAGGTCAGTGAAGTCTGCGTCTGGACATGTGCATGACTGAAACAAAAATCTTATTACTATAAAGATACTTGTGAGTAGAACTGGTTTCCTGTGTTTTGCATGTTTGTCTTACATCTGTTTTCTTTCCGTCATTATAGTCAGCTGAGCGATGGTCCTTCAGCATATTTTGAATGATGTCTCCACGAGCCCAACCGGTGAACAGTAGTTTTCCATGCTGATAACCCACCTCCTGAACAAAAAATATGATATAACATACTACGTTAAACTTGTGGAGGGTCTGCCACCTGGTTGTACATGGATATGTTATTGCTTTGTTTGGAATGTTCCACAGTATGGTATAATAAATATCTATCTTGGATTTATTAAATTACATAATTTTTTTTATAGCTCCAAACATATGTTGACAGTGACACATTAACTTTCTTACTGTGAGCAGGCTCACCGCTCCATAAATCTGGCTTGTAACTTAGCCTGATGGCCTCAGCCGCTTGTCTCCATGAAGACAGATATGTTTAATGTCATTATGTGGTGCATTCCAGACAAACACTCCATAGAGACCAATATTGCTTTCAGCATTTAAAATATATATTAAAAAAAAAAAAAAAAAAGATAAAAAAAGATTACATTTGTTACTCAAAAGCGCCCTCAATTTTACTCTGATATTATTTTCCATGTAAAAAAAAATTAACAATTATACAACAGGTGATTTCTTTGCTCTATCTACTATATACTCTAAGAAAAAATATAAACAAGTAAAAAGAATGCAAAAAAATAGAGCAATTACATAATATTTTTGAAAGAATCTAAAGGACCACCACAATCTCAACACAGAGTAACTGAGTTAACTTACATAGATCTCATCAAACTTTCCAAAGTCCATGGTCTTGAACCGGTCGATGGGGGGTCTTATGTACTCGCAGTAAGCACTCTTCTTCACCACCTCTAACTGACGCACACATGACACATAAGCCAACCGGGACTGGATCTCTGCCATGTCCGGCACCTGAAACACCACACTCACCATCAGCTAAATATATTATGTCATATATTATTTTATGACCACTGACACATTAATTACACATTATTTATTACATTATTATACAGGATTTCACATTACACATAGACAGGTCCTGAGCAGTGAAAAATAACAGTAACTCTTTAACTTTACCTTAACTTTCTCGGCCCAAGGGTTGATGCGTTTCCAGAGCAACCACCATCCAGACAGGCAGTCGCCATAGTTACACAAGTCAGTCTCATCCTGGCTGCCCACATCAATGGCAATGACGGTTTTGGCGCCCATATTCCTCGCAATGTCCGCTATAGGTCCAAATGCATAGAAAACGCAGCGACACAACAAGATGGGATCCAAAAACAAAAATGAGAAGAATGATCATTTTGTTTGGATTCAGGAGCCAAAAAAAGTCCACAATAAATTTACACCACAAACACTTCAATTGTGTTGTGTTTAGTTGTTAGGGACATTTAAGATCAGTCTAAAAGGGATTTACCATGAAGCTAAAACTAAATTTGGACTGATATTTCCCATTTGTTTACTTTCTTAAAAGGGGTCTAGGGGTAAGCATTTTTGTGGTGTTAAAATAGAAACCGGAAAAGCACACCAAAGCTCAAAACACAACACTGAGCCAACCTATAAATACAGCTGACCAGAAGCATGTCTTAAGGGAAAAAATGTACTTCAGCAATCATTGTACAGGAGTTCCTTTTTATGGATTAGTGTCAGAGCCAATTCTGAAAAGCTGAATTAGAAACATTAATATTTTTCAGCTTTGCATAAAATGTAACATCAATCAACAGAACATGGAACAGACATTTTATCAGAGCACCAAAAACTTTTTATTATTAATTATTTTTAATGTTTCTTTCAGTATCAGAGAGAATATATGCAATGGTCCACTGATAAAAGACAAAGACACACACACACACACACACACACACAAATATTAGACACATAGCATTCACATAGCCTCAACTTGAAATGTTTCCATGTAGGGGATTGATGTATATTTTTTATTACTTTGTAGTTGATGTAGCAAAAAATATATCTACCATATAACTGTAACACAATAATTTATATGTGTGAAATTCCACAATGCATATTGCAAATGCAATGTTTACATGCTATTGTTCTTATAATTAATTTATAAATCAATAACAAATTTAAATCATAAATGTATAGGGTTGGATTTAAAACTTGATGTGTTACATTTCAAGTTCTCTATGTAATGAATACATATAGTACAGTACTTAAATTATAAATGTATATAAAGTATAAACATAAGGTAATAATAAGTTTGCTTTGAATCTGATTGCTGAGTTTCCACAAAACAAAGATTTTAGATAGAGAATAGGGGTGGGCGATATATCGATATTGTAAATATATCGAGACAGTTTTTAAACTCGATATGAATTCTGACATATCGTATATATCGATATAATGCTTATATTCAATTCTGATTTCGTCGCTTCGCTTGTTTACCTTCTCTCTCGTCGCCCGCGCGCCCTTGCCTCCCTGATTTTGTTCGCTCGTGTCTCCTTCACTCGTCACTATCGCCGTGAACGCCGAAAGTTGGTGCCAGTGAAAAGCTTCTAGCGCCACGAACCTTTTCCATCATTTACAGACAAAACCACCAGCAGCACATCCTCATATTCCACCGAGTCACGTCCTTTAGCCCGAAAGAAGCTAAACGAGCTGAGCTGCATGAGAAGTGCGCTGTTTATGCAAATGAGCCATGTGCTTAAATTTCGTTTCTGTAAAATGTAAACACACGTGCGCAAAACTGCATTAAACACATTATTATCGCAAATGGGCTTTTGTGGCTCTATAGTCATTATACTTTATATATTGTAAAGTTTAGCAATGTAAAGTTTATTTATGCAGAAGATTTTAATTAATAATCTGCTGCAGTGTCACTTGTACAATAGTGTTTGGAAGCGTTGGGTTTGATCTGCAGTGGATTGTGGGAAACCTCAGAGCTCTTTACTGCTGGATAGAAACATGGATCTATTGAAATAAGGAACATTATGAGCTTCTACTGCTAAATGAGCTCATGGTTATGGTTCTGGACTGGATAACAGAGTTAATGCAAAGATGGGCTTGTGTTGAGTTGTTTTATTTATGAATGAAAAGGAGGAAATATATATTATTTCTTTTATTTTCCAGTTAAATTATTATTTATGTAATTAGGGTTTTTTGTAATCTTAAATGTTCCTATATGAACTGCCGACCTCTTACACTTCAATTAAAACAAAAAAGACCTTGTGGAATTTGGCAGATTTGTTTTTGCAGTTTTCAGTTTTAGGGGGTTATTTTTTCTTGAGCATATATCGAGATATATATCGTATATCGAGATATAGCAAAATATATCGAGATATATTTTTTGATCCATATCGCCCAGCCCTAATAGAGAATTTATTTCACTGTGTTTAATGTACCAATATGAGTCTGATTTATAGTGCTATAATAAGATCATGTTAGGAAAGCCTTGGTGTTTTCTAAGTGAAACTCAGCAGTCGATTCAAACTCCTCTTGGTTACATATAGATCAACCCTACACTTCATACTTACCACCCTTCTATGCTATATCCTGCATGATGACCCTGAAACCTCCCCACCTCTCCCTCCTCTTTGTTGGAGGCTGGGACCCTTTATGGGACCCCTACTTGCCTGGCAGGTTGTTGATGTAGCCACCGTCCATTAGTAAGTTTCCATCTTTGGGGTCACAGAGGGGTGGCAGGTACCCCGAAAGGGTCATGCTGGCACGCACATAGCGCCACAGAGAGCCTGGTGCAGCGGGGGAGGAGGAAGGGAGTAACATCTCAATACCAGTCTGGTTAGTGCTGGTGCAGGGCACAGCACACGCCCCAGCAGGACGAGGGTCAGGCTGGGGCGTGTCCTAAGTGTCTGCCCACCTTTAGACTCTGTGTCACCACTGCACACCTCACTACCTCGCACACTCACAGTGCAGCAGGTAACAAAGGACATGGCTCCATCACAGAGCATCAAGGCTGTCTGATCTCCAAACTAGGCCCCAACAAGATGCCCAACAATTTTTAAAATATGTTTTATCTTGCATTGTAGCCAAATTTCTTCTATTACGGACAAGCAGCTTGTTGTGACCATGTCTGACGATCTCTCACCGTGAACATGGTAGGGTACAGAAAGCCTGCTCTTCCCTCCAGTGCCAACAGGGGGCAGGAGCAGGTCACTGCATGGGTTGGAAGGATAAGGAGCACCAGAAAAAGCCAGGGTGCAACTTGCATGTAGTGTGTGTGGACTGTGACAGGTGAATCTGAATGAGAAGAAGCCACTGCAGGATCCAGAACACGTTTAACTTAAAGTGTTTTCAAAGCATCAATGTACGTTCAAACATACTGATGATGTCGAGCATTCATAAAAGCAAGCAAAGCCCGGAGAAGAGGAAATGCATTGTGGAGGAAAATGGTTCAAACTAAACAAGCGTTGGCTCTCACAGGAAACAGAGACCACAGGATGACAACATTCAGGCTTACGGCAACAGAAGCACAAAACAAACAAGATGTCTTCATAGTCCTATAGTTCGTGAACTGACAACTTGGCCTACATTGAGAATTTTAAAGAATTTACTAATCTGTTAATTTTCTGTTCAGGAAGAAGGAAAACTTCAGAATAGAGTAAATAAAGTTAACTTGAATTGATTAAAGATCATCATGCATCTGTCTATTACCAAGAATATCCAGACATGCATGGAAACATCACACTGGAACCCCTCTGAAAGTTAGCAGTTCTAACCATGTTGAAATGTGAGCTATAATTTGGGTCATTTTTGTGGAAGTGGTGATGTGTTGATAAAGACGATGCCAAATTGGAAAAATATTTCCTTCCAAACCATGGTCTACCAATGTCCAGCTGGTCAGGGTGGGGTTAGTAAGAGGTTCGGTTTGGGAGGTGAGTGGGTTTTTAAAAATCTGACCTGGGACATTGTTAACATAGCAACCATCCACAAGCAAGTGGCCATCCTTGGGGTCGCAGAGGGGAGGTAAATAAGGGGTGTAGGAGGCGCTGGCCCTAACATAGCGCCAGGCGCAGCCTGTTGGGACATGATATGAAGAAGGAGCAGCACATCAAATATGGGCTGGACTCAGGATGTACAAATGGGACAGAGAAGAGACAGAGCAAGAACAGCAAGACTGAGAGGAACAAAATGTGTCATGTAATCTAAAAACATAGTGTATAAATACGTAACAAAATGGTTTTCAGGTGTCAAATTATGTAACAAAATAAAAATACATATGCTAGGTCCCAAAAAAAATAACATATGTATAAAACAAATTTAGATTTAAAGGTGGTGTTCATTGTGTGTTTAAAATGAATTAGCATTATTAGAATTGTTAAATGGTTGCATTAAAAAGGTGAGAGTAGTACAAGCAGAAAGAGAAGAAGAGAAGAAGAGTAGAAACTGTCCCACACTTTGAATGTTGTTGAATTGTCGCCCCATCTATCTACCCGTACCAGCAATCTACATAAAACTGCACTACAGGGCTACCCCACAGAGGCCCTAACAATTACCAGATAAACAAATCTAAAACTAGAATAAACTATAATAGCAAAGGCAGATAAGCAGTACAATGAAGCTGAAATGAAGGCGAGGGAGAAGCATGGTTGTATGTTATTTAAAGCAAGAAAAAAGTAAGTGTTCTGGATCCTACATGTTGACAAAGACAAGGACATCTCTATCAGTCTCTACACCAAAGCCAGGACAGTGGTCTGTGATGAGCAGGGACTTCACACAGTAACACTTCAGTACAGTGAAAATGACGTTTGATGACAAGACTACAGTTTGGTTACTTAGGCACATAAAAGATAATTTAGCAGGATATGGTAAGAATGAGAATGATTAAAGCAGCTGAAGACAGAAGATAATGCAATAAGAGTATCAAAGGCATGGTAAACAAAAATGTTTAAAAAGTGAATAGATGGTTTTGTTTAGTAAAGAAAGGGCACAGCTTTGCTCTAGTTCAAACACATGCCATGATGCAGTCAGCCGACACAACAAGCCTCTCAAATCCAAACTTTTCTCTTTATGGTTAATGAGAATGGGGGATTTAGAAAGCTTGTGGTTTGAAATAACAACTATTCATGTTTAGCAATTGCACCATTGGGTAAAGAATAAAAGATGTTTTGAAAATAAATGTACTGTGTAATTTTTCTGGTGGAGGCTGATGTCATGTTATTGCTTTGCCTCGAATCTTCTACACGAAAGAATGAAACTTAACCATCTCCAGGTAGATGAAGCCAAGGTTTAAATGTGTTTATAACACTGCAATTGAATGAAATGTAATGCCATACCAAGGAAATTTCCAAGCAAAGCAATCATCTCTATAGAGACAACAAAGGTGGCGTACACTCCACCAGGAAAGTTATGCAGGGAATTTCATTCAAAAGACCCAATCAAAACACTTCTGATTCTGGGGTGTATTTCTGTTCAGACTAGTTCATTAAAATGTATTTCATTAAAAAAATATCCAGTAAATAAAATACATAATCAACCGTTTCACCCCAAAATCAGATGTACAACTGTATTTTTGTTTCTCATGCAGTACCTAGAGACTAGCATTTCTTATTGCAGTCAGCTCAGGGCATGCTAAAAGTATAATGACATGCAAAAAGGTATTTATTTAATCAAGATCGCTGAGACCTAAATCCACATAGTATTATGTAATCACTTATTAATTATAATTTAGCAATTATTAGTCTGTGTTAAATATTGTACATTCCATAGTTTTGATAATTTTGGTGTGTAAAGTAGAATAATTTTATAATAATAAAAATAGTAAAATATATTATAGGAGTAAAAATATGAGTTTCTGCTGTGATCTCTTACCATCCTGATGGACTCGCATGGCTGAGGCTGTGATGTCAGTCGTGACATTAAAATATGGCAACCACAAGTCCTGGAAAAATATATGTTACATTGTGTCCATGTTTCATTCACATGCATCATTATTATTGCCTTACTCTGTTACCTCTATTTGTTTGTCTTGAAAAACTTTATATATACTGGTGTTGAAAGCAGAGCCAGAGAACATTGAAGTGATGGGATAGGTTAAATCAAGGACTGTCTTAAAGACAGAATTCATTGCCTATAGCAAAGAGAAATATAAGAATATTTAGTATTTAATCTTTAGATGACAACAACAGGACAAATGTGAACTGTGTACCTTGGACCACTCGCGGGCTCTTTGCTTGGTACGAACAGCGCTCCTCTCCTCAGCATACAGAGCACCAATGAATGATCCTATAGAGGTCCCTCCTACTATGTCAATGGGAATTCCTGCTTCCTCCATGGCTTTAATCACTCCAACATGAGAACAGCCTCTACATAAACAATACAGTACGAATAAATAACTCCTCATATAGGCATGTTTTCATATAACAGCATGTTTCTTGCCTGGCTCCACCTCCTCCCAACACCAGGGCAATGCTATTCCCCGTCAGGACTCGGGCCAGCCGAGAAAAGTCACTGTGTCTGTCTGCTGTTTTTTCAAAAACCTTCTCATACACCTCCCTCTACCGATGAGACAAAATACAGTTTCAGATAGAATAAAAACACACGCAAACTGTCCCTTTAGATAGAGCTGTACCAGTTTGCTGGGGCTGCGTCGAGAGAAGACTCGGCGTGGGCACTTGAGATGAAGGTGACCTGAGCACCAGCTCCTCATGTTGAGCCACTCCACTGTCCGCGCTGGATCAGGGCCGTCCTCTCTGTAAGACCACCAGCTTTTTCAGAGCACGCACTGCTGTGTTCTCCAACATCTGCTCCAGCTAACGTGCATAGGAGGGAGACTTAAAACTTTATGTGTGAGCCACAATTATATCATATCTATTTTTTGAGAAACAAACCTCTCCAAGTGTGGGCTCCTGGTCCCCCACCCCAACAATGAGGATACAGTCAGCCTGTCGGATACAGCGCTGTGTCCAGGGGGTCATGCTGTTGTCAGTCTGGTACAGGACGATCCGGTTTATGTCCTCTTGCTGGGCCAGCCAGCCAGACAGACGGTACTCATGGATACTGAGCAATAACAAAACTGTTTAAATCTACAATGGAAAGCCCATGTAATATATAGTACATACAATGCAGGTCTGAACATACCTGTCCAGTGCAGAGGCACCCAGTCGCTCCCTGATTATGTCACTTGTTAACAATAAAGTCGGACCTATATATTAAATCAAACATGATCAATAAACAAAATCACACATTAACTAATAAAATACGTGTGTGAGACTTTACCGATGGCACTGAGGGCATGGCTGAGCTCCAGGTTGAACGCATTGACAGGCACATCATCACCCACGGGTAGCACAGCCACAGTGGAGAGGTTACTGGAGGGGTTGGTCACATCAGCACTGGTGGTAACAGTGGGCAGGCCCAGAGCAGAGGCTGGAGAAAAGTATGGCAAAAGTTCAGCTGTGTAAAGTCACATTATTTTTTATTACATGCAATTCTGTTTTTCTCACCTGTGAAAGGCCCTCGCCCCTGCTGAAGGTTCCCTAAAATCTTTTGGCCTAACAAGTGAATCAACCGTGTCACTACCTGAAATAAAAAGATGCGATTAATCATAGTGCACCATTGCATTAAACAAGATTTTGAAAGGCATTTATTTCACCTGTGGATATCGTCTTTTAATGTTATTGAGCGTTCCCTCAGGCAGTTTGACCAGCTCTGTGTCTCTAACAGCGTGGACAGTGGTGGCCCTCGGCTGTTTAGTTAAAGCTTCCACCTGACGTATAAAAGATGAGGTTACATTTATTTTCAAATCTGAAATTAAGATTATACATTTGGAGCATTGGATAAAATAGTCAAACACTCACCACACCGATGAGATCTCCTCTACCATACTCCCCAACAAGCTCTTTCTTCCCATTTGCCTTTCGAATGACTGAGCGTAGACGTCCATTTAAAACTATGTAGGTGCAATCTGACTTGTCATCTTGTCTGAAATTTACAAACATCATAGAATTGCTAAATACATCTCAACATAATCTCTTTAATTTAATAAATGCCAACTACATTATGGTAATTAACAAATAAGCAAACCGTACCTATAAAGAGCTCTTCCAGCTTCCACAGCCATCCAGTCGATGGCGAAGTCCATCTGTCTGACAAAGGCAGACATGCGTATGGCCACTGTGTGAGCCGCACTCAGGACAACACTGGGCTGCTCCCGCATGATTCTACAACATACATAATTTGTTTTGTTTTCTTAATACTTCAAAATTTTCACTAGAAAGGGCCATATAGTAACTGAAACTTTGATATCAGCGTGTAATACATTGAGGCAGAACTTGTATATTTGGACTAATCTCAAAAATAAAAGAAATACTGTAAGTGTGTTACTGGAAATGTAGCCAATCTAATCAGATCTTACTCATAAAAGTCTGACTTGGAGATCTTAAGATAGGTACAGTCCCGGATGGCTTTGATGGTAAAGATTAGGGGCTCTCCTGTGAGCACAGCCAGCTGCCCCACCATCTCCCCTGGGTGGGTCACAAACAAGCACACTGCCTCCTGTTTGTTGATCATCCGCTGGTACACATGCAGGCACCCGGACAGGACAAAGTGCAGGCTCACGTCCTGGAAAGAGATACAAATGAGATGTATGCAAATGCAACACAGTATAAAATATTTGGGATTTCACAGTACCTGGTCACCTTGTCTGGCTAAAACAGCACCAGCTTTGGCATGATGTAGAGTTACTCTCCCGTTCAGCAATGTAGGGTCCTAGAAAAAATTTATTAAAAAATGCTTGAATATAGATTTGAAGTACCCAAGGTCAGTGAGCACAGTTATATAATGCAATGTACACTGCTGTCTCCTATTAAACATAATATTTGCAAGACTTGCAACATATGCAAGTAAATGCATGCAAACAGTAGACAGGGTTTGGCCCACTTTGCTGCTCAGTGTTGTAGCCACCATAATCTGACTGTCATCAGATTAAGATTATGGACAATATGTTCATTCATGCAGATAAATAATGTGTATGTATGAGCGTATTTTGCGTGAGCCTCGACAGAAAATGCTTGCTGTAGATGGATATTAAAAGGCACAATCTGTCGCTTTTTAGACTAAAATGAAACCAACCTCTATCCTCATGAGCTTCAGGACCTCTTTCTGGGCTTCCTCAAACAGAGCAGCGCCAGATTTGGCAGAAACTGGAGTGAAAATATTATCCACTTCTGGCTCTTCCTCAGGATACAAGTAAATCCCTGATGGAACCTCATCCACTGTGACTTTACGCTCACGCTGATCGAGAGGTCCAACACACTAGTACAGATTTAGGGAAGAAATGATATATAGTTATTAATGATTATTAATGATGATTATTATTATTTATTAATGATAGATTATTATTAATGATTAAGATACAATTCTAAATTGTCAACTATCTTTATCTCTTTTCAGAGGCACTTGCCTTTGATGTTTGTGGAGGAGTGTTTCCATCCTCTGCAGAAATAGAGATACGGCCTCTCTCATAAGCCATGTCAAAGTCTGACTTAAGACCTTTCTGAATACCTGAACAGAACAATAAAAATACTAATTTCAAAATAGTAGATAATAATAATAAAATCTCATTCTTGGCATACACAAGAACAGTAGTTACTGGAATGCTTTACTTAAATTACATACTCTAATTTGTCAGTTCTTGTGCTTGAAATGGCCTGAACTTGCCCAAACAGAAATATGTTTCATTTGACTACAGGCAAAGTTGTAAACTAGTAAGAACATACTTTGCCTTTTGAAAAAAAATTATGGTTTGCCTTTTGAAATAAAAATGCTGAATGTTGTTTCTGTATTTGGATATAGTTTTGAACAAAGAGTCTTACCAGCAATATCCACAGGCATGGAAATTGCTCTGCTGAGAAGTGGGGCTGATGAGCCATCCTTCCCTTGCTCTGCTGTTTAAAAAAGCCAAACCATTTTACAAATAATGCATTAACAAAACTGTCGTAGAATGATATAATGACAATGACCTGCAGCCTCTTTGACAGCAGCCTCCCTGTGCTCCTCTGGTACAGTCAAGCTGCTGAAGCGTTTACCGTGACGTATTGGGCTGGTCCGAGTCGGGTGAGGAGATGGAGGGGGCAAACGACTGGGTTGCATTTCCTTTAAAACAATATTATGACAAACCACTGTCATTTAGTAAAATACTGTTACTAATGAAACATTGACAGGTCCCCAATGAGGCAGAATATACAGACGTGTTCAAAATTGTTGGTACCCATCTGGTAATGAAAGAAAAATCAACAATGGTCACTGAAATAACTTGAAACTAAGAAAAGCAATAATAAATAAACATTTACTGAAAAATAACCAATGAAAATCAGACACTGTTTTTGAATTGTTGTTCAGCAGAATAATTTAAAAAAACAAACTAATGAAACTGCCCTGGACAAAAATGATGGTACCCGTAGAAAAGATTGTAAATACATGGACAATAGGAACATGTTAAACTTAGGTGTGTCCTCTAATCTGCATCACAGGTGTCTTCAAACTTGTCCTCAATCAAACTGCCTGTTTAAAGGGGGACATGTTGTCATCAACACTGAATATGAACCAGAGAAAGTGAAGAAGAGAACTGTGTCAGGAGACTAGAAAGAAAATAATAGGCAAGCAGGATAAAGATAAAGTCCATAAGACCATCTCCAAGCAGCGTGATGTTCCTTCGATTACAGTTGCACATGTTCTTCAGACGTTTAAGGTCCACAGGACTGTAGCCAACCTCCCTGGACGTGGCTGCAAGAGGAAAATTTATGACACATTGAAGAGATGGATCATATGAATGGTATCAAAGAGCCCAGAACAACCTCCAAAGAAATGAAATGTGAACTTGAAGGACAAGGTACATCAGTGTCAGATCGCACCATCCGTCACTGTTTGAGCCAAAGTGGACTTCAGGTGAGGACACCACTGTTGAGAGCAAATCATAAAAAAGTGAGACTGGAATTTGCCACAGTGCATATTGACAAGCCACAAAGCTTCTGGGAGAATGTCCTTTGGACAGATGAGGTAAAACTGGAGGTCTTTGGCAAGACACATCAGCTCTGTGTTCACAGATGCAAAAATGAAGCACACCAAGAAAAGAACATTGTTTGTACTGCATGGAGGAGGCTTGGTTATGTTCTGGGGCTGTTTTGCTGCATCTGACACTGGGTGTCTTGAATCTGTGCAAGGTACAATGAAATCTCAAAACTATCAAGGTATTTTGGAACAAAAGGTGTTGCCTAATATCAGAAAGCTTGGTCTCAGTCGTAGGTCATGATTCTTCCAACACCCAAAACACACAGCGAAAAACACCCAAGAATGGCTAAGAACAAAACATTGGACTGTTCTGAAGTGGTCTTCTCTGAGCCCAGATCTCAGTCTTACTGAACATCTTTGAAAGGAGCTGAAACATGCTGTCTGGAGAAGGCACCCTTCAAACCTGAGACAACTAGAGCAGTTTGCTCATGAGAAGTGGGTCAAAATATCAGTTGACCAATGCAGAAGTCTAATTGACAGTTACAGAAATAATTTGTTTGCAGAGTTTGCCTGAAAAGGTTGTGCAACAAAATGTTAAGTTAAGTATACCATCCTTTTTGTCCAGGCCAGTTTCATTATTTTCTTTTTTCTAATGATTCTGTTGAACCACAGGTGAAAGGCAATGTTTGATTTATGTAGGATCATTTTCGGTGATTTTTTTATTTATTATTGCTTTTATCAGTTTCAAGTTATTTCTGTGATGATTGCTGACTTTTCTTTCATTACCAGAGAGGTACAAAAAATTTTGAACACGTCTGTATATAAAGAGCTTTCAATCTCAATGTATTTTTCACCTGGTTAAATAACGGTTTATAAGAAATGCCAAAGCACAGCAAATATGTCTAGTAAATATGTGCACTTACATGGCTGAAGAGCTCGTTGGTGAGCCCCAAATAGTTATGCAGGGCCAGGACAGTGACTCTTTGGAGACGAACCATAATAATCTAAAGAGAAACAAAATGTGTCTGTTAAACGAAAGTAATAGTTGTAACCGTTTTACCACAGATAAACACACAATGTCACTGAAGTAGTAATAGTACACACTTGCACTACTCGCACAAGGCTCTCGGGGTACTTCTCAAATATAGAGAGGAAGGCTTCAACAGGTAAACGCAGTACAGTGGAGACCTCTGCAGCTCGCGCCGACACTGTCTTGTAAGGCTTCTGGTGGCCCTGACAAGAAATGAATGAGGCCAAATATTATGCACCATTTTCACAATAATTGTAACGCACAGAAAGAGTGTATCTTACTGTGATCACGTCCAAGATGCTGAGAAGACTGTGAACACTGTCTCCAGCATACACCTCCTTCACCACACTCTCTTTGCCATCCTGTAAGAACGCAACATACAGTTATGTAATATTTGCAAGTCCAGGGTTAGGGTTAAACTGTGTCCCTGATGCACTGTGGTTCGAACGTCTAGTGTCTATCTTTCTTTCTCTTTATTATTTATATTTATATATTGTTCATGACCAGAGATGTGCGAACTGAATTGCCCTTTGGGATTAATAAAGTTGTTGATTGATTGAATATTGCTAATTGTGATAAACTGTGGCACATTTTGTATAACTGTGATAATTGCCAAAGATAATCACTTGTGCAGAAAAAAGAAATCATTGATGATGTTCTATTCTAGATAATTATTGTTTTCACTTACAAAGTACAATTCTAAAATGGTTATCTAAAAACCAAACTATTCATAATAAAGACACTAACATTTTTAAAAGCATTTTTAATAATTTTATCATCCCGTGCCTAGTTAAAGGTAGTAATTTGCAATTCAAAGAACTTGATTTTTTCCCATTCTGAAACATAATTTGCGGTCTGGCACATCCATACACTGCATATATAAAAACAAGGGTAATACCTAACATAGATTAAAAGAGACATAAAACATAATTTTACTAAAGGTTTGTGTGCTCTACATGTGAAAAGGCACAAAAGCAGCACGCACCGGTCCAGTAAGGCACAGTTCGAGTTTCCCCTCCTGCACCACATAGATGCTGCTGTCAGGGTGGCCTGGTCTGAACACATGCTCTCCTTGTTGGAAGCGCAGAAAAACCATGTGCTTACACAGCTCAAGGAACAGTGGCTTTTCAAAGTGACCCAGCACCCTAAACAAAGAGATGGTTTCACTGACAATATTTTAAACACAAGAAAATAATTTCACCCTGAAGAGAAAGAAACAAGAGAGCATTAAAGAGCTCATATTACTGACATTATTTTCATTATTTACATTATTACATATTATTTTCTGATCTCTGTTATAAGGTTGTTTCCTCATCACAAACATACCTCAAGTTGTGTTGTGTGTCATTTACATGTGTTTAACTGAAAACACTCTCTTCCACCTTGTGATGTCATGTGCTCCACTTCCTTCACTATAATCATTTGGATGATTTCAGCTCTGGAAGTGCCAATCTCTACTGAACTAAAGGTAAAAGGTAGTTGTTAACATGAAAACTACCACTACATGACATCACAAGGTGGAAAAGAGCATTCTGAGCTTTGTAGATGTAGACAGATTAACAATAAAGTATTACTCACTCAAACGTGTGAATGAAACAAAGAAACACACCTCCAAGTATGTTTTTGAGAAGGTAACAATGTTCTAACATGGCTTAAAAAGTCAGTTTGAGTAACAAAGGACATTTAAGAGCAGCTTTATTGAGAAGCATATCTATATCTGCTATAACAGGACAGTGATTGGACACAAAGGAGGTATGGTATGCAGTGGGGAAGAAGAGGCGTGGTGTAAACTACATTTAAGTTTTCTTACGCTTGACTCCATTTGACAGACTGCAAACCTACCGGACGTTTTTGAGCATGTAGAGCACTTCTGAGGGGAGGTGGGAGTTGGCCACATCAAACTCTGTGAGATCAGCCTCCAGCACTGAGGGAGGGGGTTCCTTAGCCTGAAGGATGGGTACCTCTTTCTGAAAGCGCAGGATCCTTCACAGGAAAAGAACAAGTATTATAATAAGAACAAATATTATAGGTTATGGTATGTCATGCACAGCTATAACATTCATGTGTGTGATGTACTTTTTGGCTATGTTAATCATCTTTTGCTTCTTTTTCATACGGGGACGAGAAGAGGAGGAAGTACCAACCAGAGAAGAGGTAGACTGTGACATCTATTAGAAAATCAATATGGATGAGATTAAAAGATGAAAAAAGCATTAGTAATTCACTGAACATGGTTTCTTTTTAGTACAGACCTTGCGCATAATTTTCCGGCCATAGAACATAACTTTGTCCCTTTTACGGAAGCGATACTTCGGTGTTTCTTCAGTCTCTTCATCTGTCAGAATATGAAATGTTACAATCAGAACATTTGATAATAAAACCTTTTTGTATGGTAAGTTATAAAACTGACTTCGAAGTTGTATCCTCCGCAGGACAAAGAAAATGAGGATGGCAATGAGAACTATGACAATGCCGGCACCAATCACCATTCCCACCATCTGAGACGTTAAAGAAAATTATATTATTACAAAACAAAATGTATACTTAGCACTTATTTTATATGAAGTTATATTGAGCTCACCATGCTCGTTTGAAGCTCCTCCTCCACCAAAGATTTGATATCATTAAACCCATCCTATGAAAAGAAAATCCCAAACATACAAATTTTCAGTATGTGATTACACTGTTAACTTTGTAGTTAGTGCCAACAATAGTCATTGCTCTTCACAATTTCACGTGACTTTTGCTGGGAAGCCTCATGACTCTTAAGAAATCAGGGCCACTGAAGTGTAATGGTATGTGGGAATAGAGGATTTGCAATCAAGACATTAAAACGAGCAGAGAAAAGTGACACACAACACTATACTAAAGATTTTCCTCAAATTTATACTTAAATTTACTACAAACTCATCCACAGCCCTTTCTTTACCATAAACCTTTGAGTGACTGGTGTAGTCATGTTTTCAGCAGTTATCTCTTCATATTAAAGTGTTGAAATAAAGGTCTGTGTGTATTTTGAGGCAGCAGATTGACCAAAACAAAATATCAGCCTGTGCTAGAGATTTAAGGCCAATAGACAATATGCTGAAAATCCAAATATCTATGTCTATATTATACACATATATATGACAAAGAAATGCTATGGTGCTCATTAGTGTCTCAAGCACTGACGTGGCACTGCTCTTACACACATTGACAGAGCACTTTGGGGCAGGTGAATTATCTTTAGACTGACTGTGCAGGGTGTGAGCAGATAAGCTGCTTGTTTGGCAAAGAGGAAAGAATGAAAATAGATCTCAACTATTAAAAAGAGAAGAAATGTCTTTGAATTTTGCAGCAAAGTGGCTTAACATTATTCATATTTTGACCCTATTTATTTGGATAATGCCATTACTGAGATTGCCATTAAGTATGTCTCATTGTTCTCATACATTATTAAGTAGATAAAACAGGCTATGGTTTTACTTTAATATATTAGCAATCTATACAACACAGTCGCAAACTGTCAATCACCAGAAATATGCTTTTGCAATTTAATAAAATCTAAGTACTTTTGAGACTTACTTAGGAAAACAAACAGAAGGGATCTTTTTAGTGCAGTGCTTTCTGGCCAGAGGGAAACATGTCCGTTATCAGCAGTTATTGATTAGCGTATATGGAGTTAGCCTGGACACATGAGATATTCAGATGCAGGCTAACAGATGGTATGCTCATAGGCACACAAACATGTAATTAAATCATTTCATTAATTCCATCCATTTTATGTATGAAATGTACTTGTGGTCAAAAGTATGATCACATTATATTATGGTGTTATAAAAAATGTAAAAAATAAATAAATAAATAAATTTAAAAAAAGACCTCGCGGGCCTCTGGTGGTGGTGGTGCCTCTTGGACCTCTTGTTCCGAGGTACTTTGTCCCATTGTAATCCTGTGTCTTCATAGGGCTGGTCCATCAACGTCCACTGCAAACAAAACAAGACACATATTGCTAAGTACTTGTATTTACATTTGTTGTGAGTTTGTCAGCCTAATAGCAGGACATCATAAATCATTCACTAACATCCTACAATTATCCCATGCTGCAGAGGAGGAGGCAAAGGAGGAGGCAGGCTGTTGTATGTCTCTGCCCAGATAAACCCTGTCCAGATGGTAAGCCTTTCTCTTTATATCCATCTATCCCTCATTACCCCTCCCCAATGATCTACTGACACTGCTAATACATTAGAGCAGTGGTTTTATTAAAGCAAATATCAAGAGGCTTTTATTTTCCTTAAGGTATCAATTCAGTGTTATAAAGGTTAATTTTGCATGGCCACATACCACATTGATGCCCACAAAGAGTGATTCAGCTGACACAGGGCTGTGTACTGTGGATGGACAACAACCTCATTCAATGTCTATGAACAAATAAACAGCTATGCTGTTTTGGCTCACAACAATCCCAGCAGCAAGTGGGACAAACAAAAGAGCCAGAGCTTGCTCAGGGAATACAAACTAGTCTCCAGCCTCTGTTCAAGCAAACTTCAAGCAAGGACAGTGGCCAGAGAAAGAGCTGTTCTCTTTTCCAATTTAGAGTATTGTACATGGTGCTGTAGTGTATTGAGACTTTATTGATGCACAAGCAAAATTACATGGATGATGCTCACGCATTTCAAAATAACCACAAAAACCAAAAGAACAGAGAAGCATCAAAATTCCATTACTAAACTGCAAACAGTATGTCTTTCATTTAAAATATGCCAGATTGACACAGTCTTTCTGTAGTAGTACAACTGCATGGTACTGGTAGATTGTATGGAGTTGTATTGAATAGAGCATCATTACCAGGGCCAGAGAGAGAGAGAGTGACCTTTTGCTGTATGGCTGTAATTTAATCAGTGAAAGGTCTTGTAGTGTCTTATTACAGTTAGCCTTGGAATTCCACAAGTAAACAGCAAAGGATGTGGCTACCGAGGAAATTACAACTACCAGTTGCATAAACAAGAAGACCATAGTGTAACTGGTCTAGTAACTGGTCTCATCTAACTTTAACACAAAATCATTCTCCGACCACTGCATTTTGAAGATGATGAAAGCATTTCTTCAGCAGTTTTTCAGAGGGTTGAGAAAATAATTCCTCAAATTTGTGGTGATCAAAATGTACCGCCTTGTCTTGTACTGTGCTGTTTAGAAGGTGAACTCTGTGTGTTGCAATAACATGGGTCTGACTAGCACTAGAGGTGAGCCATATAGAAAAAAAATATACAGATATATTAGTTAGTCTATTGTTTATTTTGGATTATAGCAGTGATGATATTAGAAAGAATGGTGGCAATCCATCAGAAATGTGCTAAAATACATCTGTTGCGGTTCAAGTAACACACAATACATGCCTATCCTTAAAATGTTCTCATTTTAAACAGCCCCTAAAAATGTATATTCACATTATGGTGAATATACAGTTTTTTCAGACTGACCCTGTACTCAAACTCAAGGCTCCATGCTGTGCCTCCATTCAAGGGATAGTCCTACTCCCATTGTCCTATAAAACAATAAGGCTTGTGTTGATGACCTATGGTTCAGTGGCAGCTTGAAGAACTAGACACACAGCTAACAGATGGGACAAACAGAGACAAATTTCCACTCTGAAATGTAAATGTAGTTAAGTGGAACTGTAACCTAACTGACCTACTGCCCAAGGTGAACTCAAAGAACCAAGCTCTCATGTTCCCTCAAGCCAAAATAGTTTAGCACAATTTGCACGCCCAGGAGTGTTCCTTTACTCAACTTTGACTCATTTACTTCTTCTGCAAGTAATCCACAACAACATTATACAAGAGTTTAATAGTTCTGCTTTAAGGAGTCTTTTATTTGCCTTGAATAATACGTGCGTTAATTACATTCCTGTGACATGTGCTGTGCGCCGGTAGAGGGTGTTTTGACGCAGTGCCACATGGATATTGATGCGTAACGATGGCAAATAGCACAACCATGATACAATGTTTGATAATATACACAGAATTAAATTAATAAGTAAACTATATAAGGTCGGAAACATCACTAACGCCATCAACTGAAGTGCAAAGTTGAATTGACTGATAACGTAGGCGCCTATTGACATCAGTGGTGGCTAATGTTAGCTAGCACGGACTATAATAATAAATGTTGCTGGCTATAGATTCAGGCGATTAAACCTAATACGTGTGCTTGTAAAATTGAACAGTGGTGTTAAATGTCTTTCAGTGTGACCTCCACAGGACAATCTGAGACAAATTCACCACACAATTTCACCAGAGCTAGGCAAGCAATTCTTCGATATCAATTTACAAAATAAATGAAATCACTTAGTCTTTTCCTGAGCACGACTGACATGTTTAAGACTTGGTCTTTAAAAAAAACGGTATTTTACCTGGGCTGATGGACTCCGTCAATTGCTGTGGTTTGCTGTAAATAAGATAAAACGGAAATCATCTTCACCAAGCTCCGCCTTTGTGTCCGTTGGAGGCCGGTCCGTGTCCAGATTGTTCAGCCAAACACGACGTAAATGGCGACTGTCTCAGGTCCAATCAAAATGCTGTTTCAGACAGCAGACCCCCCCTCACCACTCCGTGTCAATAAAAACAAACCTTTGTTGCAGACCAATCGTTAGTAAAATAATGGAGGGAGATATGCAATTATTGTATTGTGGATTACCTACTAATTTCACTGTAATCTATTTGGCCAATCTGGGCAATGAACATAATGTAAACCATCCAGACTTCTGCTGAATATGGATTAAAGACAATATGCTGAAATGACATCTCTCTTAAATCTAGAGACTTAAATAAAATCTTAAAAGTTAATTTTGAAGCAACACTGCCTCCCAGTGGAAGAAAGATTCAACTGAATACGTTGGCAGAGAGAACAAAATTCAGTCAGTTTCATTTTAAAATACATATTTTATTTTGAGAGACATAATACAGATTTACAGATCGTTAATTGGCTTATAAGGCCAGTATGGGTATTTGACCTTGTCCAGTTTGGTCTCGGGGAAGGCCTCATTAAGGTCTTCTATGGTCATCTGATCAAATGGGATCATGTTATTGAATTTTTCCAGCTATGAACGAAAAAAATTAAATTAAAATTAAAAACAGTATCACATTGAAATTCAAGACTACTAATAATGTCTAATCCCAGTCATCTGGGTAGGTTATGCCACAAAAGAAAATTGAATTCTGTCAACAGGATGAAAATTTTTTAGAGCGAATACTTGGAGTGGTGAATCTTATTCACTCTAAAAAGCTTTTGTCCAGTTGACACAATGTTATGTTGTGAAGACAGCCAATAGTGCCTCACCTCTTTCTCATATTTGGCAATGCGAGCCTTTGATTGTTCAATGTAGGCTAGAGCAGACACGTTCTGTAAAAATAAGCATTTTCAAGATCAAAAAATAAGAATGGGATTGTTGACAAGTTTGTACTAAACATTGTAGAATTAACATGGATAAGTAGTCAACTGTAAAAGTGCACTTACAGCTTCCTCCTCCTGGGCATTGATCGAGCTGGTCTGTGTGTCAACTGGTTGAGGAATACTCACAGCTGAAAACTGAAAGAGAATGCAACACAATGTTAAAAACTTGCTTCTGTGTGCATTGTGTAAGATTAATTTAAAGACATAATAAATTAAAAAATGTTTATTGGTAATGGAAATGATCACTATTGCTGTACAAGGCCACTGTAGAATAAAACAATGAGATCATTTACAGAAATTATATCTAGTCCATTCCACAGTGTACAAAGAGCATTTCCCAACAGACATTTGAGCCAACACACCAAACACACACCCTCTCAAACACATATATGTATATCTTAATTTACTTACTTTTTTCTCAAACTCATCAACCAGGCCAGGCATAGCTATTGCTTTCCTGTACATGTTCCAGTCAATGGCAGCAGGACTTTCCGGGAGAGAAGCTAGCCTGTGGGAGAGACAGAGAATATTGGCTTTGAAAAAGTTAACAATTACAACTACTACTGAATAGAGATTTTGCATTTATATTTATTCTATCCCAGTTTGTGAGGTGATTGTTCCTTGTTGTTGATTGTCTAAACATCTTGGCACTCAGTTGGCATATCATCATTGACCGATTAAAGTCATAATAATAATGAATAATTAATAATAATCACTTGTACTTGTAATGGTATTTAAAAGACTTGTTTGTCAAAGCCTCTTAAAGTGTCAAAAGTCATTCATTCACCCCATACTAGATGGTGAAACGCCTGCTGCCACAGTACGACTGACTTAAAAAAAAGGTCTCAAGTGTAAGACTTGGGGTTCAGTACTTGTGCTCACTACATGAGTGTTTTCTGACAGTTTTCTGAGAAGCGTTTGACATTACATCTGGTGCTGACCATAAAGGAAAAAAAAAAAGTTAAAATCAATTAATTCTTACTTTGCAGCGATGGCATCACTTCGGGTTTTCAGAGCATTAAACATGCTCTTCTGGTTTGGTGGCACCCGCTCAGCAAATGCCAACCAGTCAATCGCTTTGAGTGCCACCCTGCGACCTGCCATAATGACTGTAAAACATAAAAAGAAACATTGTTAGATCTTTGCCTGAAAACAATCTTAATCAATATGGAAGAACATAGTGTACAATTAGTCAGAAGAAGTGTACAGTAGGCTTATCAACTAGTCACAATAAGCTATTTTAACACAACTGTAGTTGTAAATGATGTAGACAAAAAAGAAGCTTGCTTTGGACAACTTAAGAGAAAAATGAAAAAAAAAAAAAAAAAAAGGAGGGCATTAAGGGTCTGAACAGAAACAACAAACCTACGAGCACGACCACCAAATACGCAATTTCGGCAAAATTGAATATTAAATATGCATAATTTAATACAAAACGTGAGGAGAAAGGATAAGCGTCCAGCTCGTGTAAAGAGTGGCATACTGACTGTTTACGCTGGGATATTTCAAAGGGATCTTTGGCTAAACGCGTTAGCTTGCTAGCCAAGGTCAGAGACGATTTCCATAAAGGTCGGATGTTTTCATAGTTAATCGAATATAGGTATTAAACTATCATATGTTTATGAGTCGAATAAATACACGGACCTAAAGGTGCGTGTCTTTTTTCACAATCTGTAGTTGCTTTCATTCACAAACCGCACAGATACTTGCACTCACCTCACTGCGCTGAGCTCGCGTCTGACAGCGGAGAGGACGGAAGTGCTTCTTCTTCTGTTGATCACGAATACAATTGGTACTTTTCCGCCCTCTGTGGGACACACGATGCATTTACGACATGCCCACGGAGATGAGTTTCTGCCTCTTCTCTATCTTAGCTTCCCACACTCTTGCTTAAATATAACCACAAAACCTGGAGTTTAAAAAAAACAAGTACATTTTGTCATTTAATATCATTTAATGCGTTTTGAGATTTAATGTAGTAATTGAATGTTGTTTAATGTAGTTTATTAAGAAGGGCAAAATATGTTGATGTGGGGCCAGATCTAGGCCATTATTGGATCTATCTATCTATATCTATATCTATATCTACATCTACATCTACATCTACATCTATACATCTATATCTATATCTATATCATCTATCCATATATTTTATATATATAGGATACGCTCAAAACGAGATGGTGAGACATCTCAAGGGGCTTATCCTCCAAACAAATAAATTCAAATATATAGGAGCCGGACTGAATTGCAGCAACCGATTGTTTTGCTTTATCATTTAGTCTATTTTAATATTTTTATTTTGCTTGCTACATCTTTGAGGTTTATTTATAAGTAATACAAATACGCCAGCAATGTCTTCAAACTGATAAGCAGACTTTGTAAAGAATTTGGAGTTTGGGAACACATGAGCATGGGCCTACTGCTCCTCCTTTTCTCAAAAAAATTTAAAATTGGAATCCAGAAGAGTGACAACCATTTTATGTCTCATAGCCGATTACTTAAAATATAACCTGAAAAAATTCAGATGACAGCCCCAAGAGCATAAAAATCATAGTTTTAAATATCTGACCTTCTATCCTTTAATGTTCCTTTAACACTCAAACTAACACAAAATATAACAGGCTGGCATTTGCTAGGTGGTTAATTAAAAAAACAAAACAACAACTATATATTATTATATTCTTTTCAAACATTTATGGAAAATATAACAACTGACATATACAGGTTAGAGACAGAACACTCTTCAGTTCCAATTATATATAATTTTAAATTATCAAAAATACTGGCTATTTACAAAGAGTGTATGTAAAAACGTATTTAATTGTGATTTATATATTTTAGTTGGCTAATATAATTTGCAGCTAAACTGGCCCACACACACATTCTGTTTCCATAAAACTCTGTTACTTATAAGCTTAGTTTATTAAAATGCATAAAAATGATGACGACTCCTGGGCATCTTGTATAATGTTTATTTACTAAAATTATTATTATTTTTTTTACAAATTACAAAGCTTTACATAGAGACGCAGGATGTACACAGTACAGATACAAACAGTTTCAATAAATACCACTGTGCACATCACAGAGGCACAGGCTTCATCCATAGTCCACATGTGGCCTATGTACATTTTCAGCATACAGTAAGGCACTCCATACAGAGTGTCTAATACACGTGTAAGAATATAATCCCCCATTTTAAACAGGCACCGAACAGTGACTGGGACACAGCAAAGGAGCTCAAGTGATACACTGGTCTTAAGGCACTCCACCTTTAAGTACTTTGTTGCTTAAAGCTTCCCTGTCCATTATTGCGCAGAGTTTAAACGTCCACAGTGAGACCTTTAAGGCGTGTGGCTTTAACCTGATTAAACATGGATCATCATTTATAAAGGAGTCACAGATGACTTCAAATTCTGAAGTTACAATTACAACAGTAACAAATGTATTGTCCTTAGTCTCTTCTTTCTCACATACAGAGGGAATACTAAGACAGGTAGTACATCCCATAGGCCACGGGCCCGCTGAACAGTCCTGGGACAGGCACGCTGGGCCGCGGGAAACCGCTGGAAGGGCTCCAGGCCGGGGAGCCCACGTGCGCTCCAATTGGAAAAGGCAAGGCAAAAGCAGGCAACACTGGTTTGGAGGCCAGCTTGAACTTCTCCAGCTCGGCCTCTTGCAGCCTCTTCGCCTTGGCCCTGCGGTTCTGAAACCAGATCTTGACTTGAGTCTCGGTCAGGTTCAGAGAGTTGGAAAACTCGGCCCGCTCTGCAATGGAAAGGTACTGCTTCTGGCGAAACTTGCGCTCCAGCGCGAGGAGCTGCGAGGTAGTAAAGGGCGTTCGAGGTTTGCGGTTGTTTTTGTGCTTGCGCAGAGTGCACTGCGTTGGGCTGGAGCTCCCTGCAAGAAAAAAAAACAAAATTATAAATGATAGCATTATTTGCGTGTATTGGTATTAGGGGTAATATTGTGGAATAGAATACAGCAAGACCTGCCAACAAAACAGAAATCTGGATTACTGTCATTCATCTGAGGCCTCAAAAACGGTTTAATATTTCTTAAATAGCAAATATATACATATGTATATATATATATATATATATATATATATATATATATATATATATATATATATATATATATATATATATATATATATATATATATATATATATATATATATTTTATATTTTTTTTAAAATGTAGGCCAATACAAAAAAAAAAACAAACAAAAAAAAAAAAACTTTAAATGTAGTTTGGTCGCTTCACAGTTCACACACACATTATAGCGGTTTTTAAAATCTTTTGCAGCAAATGTGCATGTGCTAAATAGTTTACCCATCGTCTTTTGATCACAAAAAACATTCTTATTATGCGTATTTTTCCAAATAATACCGTCAACAGTCTAACTATTGCATCTAGTCCAGTGTCATTTATAATGGACTTACTTGGTGGAGAGGAGAAGGAAGCGGTCTGGAACCAAGTGCTCTGGTCTTTGTCGCTCAGTTGCGCGCTGTCTTCGCTGGGGGAGTGTGAGGATGAACTGTGCCCGCTGTCTCCGGGAGTCCTTTCCGTGTAAAAAGTCCTTTGAGGGATCTGTGGCTGTTGTGTCCCGGTCTTATTGAGGGACAGCGCTAAGTCTGTGGAAGAGTACGAGCTTCTACAGGTGGTCTTCTTAGCGATGAGCGACTCCACGCTGAACGGAAGGCTGCTCCGGTGAGCCTTGTATCCTTTCTCCGCGCTCATGTCTTTGGGTTCCTCGTTGTCTATGTCCTCTTTTCCGTCGCGTGACGGTGAACTCTGTCCGTTATTCATGTTGAAGCGCCCGTACGTGCTGGTCCGTCCAGAGAAGTTAGTTTGAATCCGGAGTTCAACCTTGTCAGTCTTGTCAATAGTACTGACCGGACGGGGGTCGTCTATAAAAGGGCAGGGGCTGTTTTACTCCACCAAACCCTCCAATCAGCTGCACGGAGTGACATCATGACGTTGAAGAGCTGAACACTGATTGGCCCACTGCCTCGCAAAAGGAACATCAAGAGGACTTTGAAAGGAAGAAGAAGTTAATCATACAGACCCCATGCGGTGCGCGCCCATTGAAGGCCCTCACAAAAGTGGCTTAGACCAATTTTAGCGCAATTAAGCAGTGGGGAGGACTCCTGGCCATTTCCATCCATTAGGAGCAGCGTCCTCTCCTACTGTATGGGAACTAAAGAGCCCCACTGACATTATCAAAGCGAGACTACTTCTATCGCACTTCAGAAGAGCGCGCCCTTTAAAGACAACCACTCTTTAATATTTACAAACTTTGTTTAGAGGATGGCCCGCGGCATTAAACCAAATGTAAAAACTATTCTAAAACCAAACAAAAGCGACAGAAATTGATTAGGTCTGAACGTTGGTCACACAACATTACAGCAATTTAGGAGCTGTCATTCGCTCGTCTCCCGCACAATGGCCCCAGTTGAGAAGCAACAGGCGTTTCTCCTCTCTCCAGGTCAGAGCATTTAATAAGCCAGACGAGTTGTGTTGTGCGAGGCGCCAGACTCGGCGGGATCAAAAAGGAAGATATACCTCGCGGGGAGAGAGGGGAAAGAGAGGAGGGGAAATAAAAGAGGCGAACAGTTAACTCCACTTAACCAATTGTCCTGCAGATATTTCATAGTCCACTGCGTAGTGCAGGAAGCGGGGGCGCACCGAGGCTCCCAGTCAGTGTTTTTAATGTTTAAATGATGGACGTGGAACAAAAGAGTCATTCTACTTCAGTATTTACAACAATTTTGCTTTCTGGGATTCAGTGGTGCGCCATTATCAGATCAACATCAGATCAGCCCGTACTAATTGGTTAACACCGCACTTATCTGATCTATTATCTCTACTTTTACAATAACACCAATTAGTCTCAGTGACTGATTGATTGCATATGTAAACGAGTTAACACTTCAGAATCACACAATCAATCCAGTTCTTTACAGTCCACGCCACACCCACAGTCAAAATGTCACATTATTAAATTGAAAATCTAGCTGATTTGCCGGATTGTCTAAATAGTAGAAATATTCCTGTTGTAGCTGCATGTGTTCAAACAATAGTAGATACAATGTATTCAATTGTGATATGCCTTGAGAGAGACATTTAATCATGCCAGTTTATTTGTACAGTAATCACAGATAACAATAACAATTTGGTGACCCTTATTTACAGGTTACTTTATGAGTGCCTGTCAAATGAACTTACACATAGGACAAACACCAGATATAGTTCAATAGGACTCTAGACACTAGTGAACAGCTGAAAAGAACTGTTTGGATTCAGGTCAATGAGTCAACTTGAGTCAATCCTGATGTTTTACTCACTGCTTCATTTCCTTTGTGACGCACGGGTCTCTCTGCCTTTAAAAAGTCTGCCCATACAGTGCTATATGTACAGACACTATAGGTCCATGGGTTACCTGGTGTCCCTGGCCTCCTGTCCTCCGTTTCGCCCCTATCCTTTGGGCCAAAAGACATTTCTGTAACAGCGTGCAGGCGGGTGAGCAGTGTCAAAAGGTGTTAGGGAGTTTGAAAGCAGATATGAGCGCCAAGGTTAGAGAAACTCCACGGGAAGAACTCTCCTCTCAGCTGGCACCACAGAGCTAAAGATTTTCACATGTTCAAGTGGACTCATGTTTCAACTGGACCACTTAGACACTTCACGATGTGTAAAGGGTCATGGCTACATATAAAACAAACCAGGGCCCTAACTGTAGATTTAGTGTAGACACAAACAGTCTTGTCACTCAATGCAGATACTTTGGGTTAGATTGTGGTAGGATTTTTTGGCGCATGCATTTCTACAACAGAGTGGAGACAAAATGAACTCTTTTCTAACTTTTGAAACAACCAAAGGAAAAAATATATTATTTTTGTCTAAGAAAATAAAATTTATGTCCAATGCTGCGCATGACATTTTTACCAGAACTGCGAGAACTGTGAGTTGTGTGACTCCATGCATGACTGAAAAAAAAAACAACAATAAAATCTTTCAAGGTCCTATATTATACATAATTGAGTCTTGCATCCTTTTGGCCTTGTTATAATGCTATAATGTCATCAAAAACATACCTGGAGTTTTGTTTTGTTGCTTTGAGACATGTTTGAGTAATCCTGCATTACTAGTCTGTCTATATCGCAAAAGCTCAAAATGCTCTGTTCCACCTTGTGATGTCATGTAGTGGTAGTTTTGTAGTTAACAGCTACCTTTTTCCTTTAGTTCAGTAGAAATAGGCAATTCCAGGGCTAAAATAATTCAAATAATTCAAGTGAAGGTGTATAGAGTTTAAAAACACAGTGGAGCATCTCCTGTTTTACAGCATGACATAGCAAGGAGTGTTTTCTGTTTTGAGGGAAGAACTCAGCCTAAATATGCAGGATTTGTGTGTTAAATGTGTGAATGAAACAAAACACAATTCCTGATTTGTTTTTGATGAGGAAACAACATTATAACGTAAATCTGAATATCATAATATGGGACCTTTAATATCCCTTTTAACAAAGAATATACAGTATGTTACATTTAGTGATCAATACATGGTGTTGTCATTTTAGAAACCAATACCAAATAGTGCAGAGTAATACAAAATAGTGCTTATGTTCAAAAAGGTTATTCCAACTCCTATTACAAATGCTTCAATTATATATTGTAGTGCTTTCCAAAAATACTTTTAAAACTATTTCTCTTGAATGTTGTTTTTCTTCCCCAAGTTCCCATAAATGTAACAATACACTATTTCACTTTTTTGCCTCATCACGGCTCTTATGTGAATGTGAGGTACAGGCTTGCAGCAAGGCACTTTAGCTATTTGGACAGCATTTATGGAGTTTGCGCAACGCTGTGGAAAATATTTTGACCTTTCATTTGACTTAACAAGTTGATCCCGTCCACATCAGACCCGCTTGAATCCTGCACTTAAATGCCAGTTTGACGTGGCCTGCCAAAGCCACTTCCTCTTGCGGCATCAGCGTGCCCTATGTTCCACTGTAATGAGCAAAATATTCTCCAACTGAACCAAGCAAATTGCCTCCATCATGGCTTCTTTTTTGGGGGTTGTAAAAAAGCAATTAGGCAATAAAGAGTCCAGTGGAGCTTTTAGTTACAACAGGAGTGAAAGACTTATTCTACAGAGACATATTACATTGAAAAGTAAAACAAACACAAAAGGTGACAATGCGATTGGCAATTAGGTTTGGCTTGCCGAAGACCATAGAAATCCACATTCTTGAGGAAAGTGTGTAGACAATACGAGTGGGCGAAATCGGTGGAGCGCTGTGGACTGGGAGCTCAGTGTGGCTGCTCCGTGGTCACATTCACCAAACCAAGAATGTAGCCACAATCACACACACTGCTCACAGCCAGGGCCCTGCTAGAGCACAGCAAGAGAAGGGCTCTGTCATACTGCTGGCTTTAGTCCATACCGAGCCAAAGCAAAGAAATCACAGCTATTTGCTCAGTAATATTTAATATACTCACACTATAAAACATTATGAACTGAGGGGCGAGTTATATGAGTGCTACTAGGCACTGGCGTTATTGGGGGATGCTTATTGTTATCTGGTCCATAACTATCTTTTGATTATTGTTGTTTCTGTTTTTTTCTATTTGTGAAAATTTTTGTTATATCTGAGAAAATGTATTTTGTTTCAGTTTTAACGTAAGAGATAAGTCACTTCAGGAACTTAATGACAACTTGGGGCTTGGTTTTGAAATATATCATTATTGGTAAATATTGGTCGCATCAGTAAGACAAATATTATCTGAAAAAAGAATCAAACCCCAAAGTACAGCTATGTGTCATTTTGAAAATGGTTTATAGTTATGGTAGTGTAACTTACTGCATAAAAATAAAATGAATAATCTTGTTTGATTAGAGAAGTTTATTGACCTCTTGACTTGTTGCTTTACATTGCTGATAGAAACAAATAGCCTACAGCATATATAAAATACTTGAAAATAATGATTTACTCCCCTAAACCACAAACACATTAATTGATCTTATTAACTGCTTTCTGCAAGGCCAGAGCATAATAACATTAATGTCAACAACATTTCCACACTTCTTTAAATCTTAAATGTTCTTTGTAGATGTTATTGTTTCCATATTTCATTTGTAAAACGTGGGCTATTGCCTTGTTAAACGATAACTATGGACAAAACAGCCCAGATCCAAAGTGACAGAGCTTGTCTGATAGTAATAATGTTATTGCAGGCACCAGAGGTCACAACAAATGTGTGTGTTTGAATATCCTGAGATTACAATTTCAAAGTCCTCCCCATGAAAAGTGGAACAATGGCACCGGGTGGGAAGTTAAGAAAGCGGGGGTCTCTTTCAAATAAACACGCATGGCCTGCTCCTGAATAGGGCTTTTCCACAGAGCAGCCGGATTGGTTCTCAGAAGAGTCCCACAATGACGACCTGGCTCCAACATGGAATCAAAACTCAAATATATTTAAAGTGCATTTTATCATCCAACTATTTATATCCTCATTCTTCCTACCGGGAGAGGACGGGAAAGTAGATGGGGGGTCAGAGCTGCCCCCGTTCGTGTGCTATTGCTTAATGAGCCTGAAAATACAATTGCGGTGTTCTGACTGTGAAGGAAGCCTGCAGGCTAGTGTAAATTAGCAGCGCGAGGAGGAAGCCCAGAGGCCGGGTCTTGCTGAGCGCTGAGAATAGAGAAATAGGAAAATCCTGTTAGCTCAAAGCCATTGAAGGCATCACGGTGCGTTTGTGGATGGAGAAATGAAGCTGAGGGACACTTGTTGCACACTGCAGCATATGGGACATTACTGAGGTTTTTGGCTCATCTCAAAGCCATAATTCCAGTTTTCTTCTCACAAAAGCCCTTTTCAGCCACTGCTACAATCATCATTCAACTTAATTTTCCATTCTTCTGTAGATTCCGAGGCAGCGTCCCACACTGCACATGTTCTGCTCTTTTGACCGCTTCGCTCGGCATCTGTTGCCCAATGTCTGCCCATATCTGCATTCTAATGCTCATATCCTGCTGGGATGTTAACTTAAGGCCCACAGTAATTGATGGCTTCCACACT